GAGTGCGACACCTCGCCTTTGAAGGGGTTGCACCTTCTGCAGACGAAGCAGTGGGTCTATTTATATCCCCCCGACCCACTGGGGGTATGGGAAACCCTGGAAGATGACAAAAATAGATGGCGGTAATACGTCATCTCTTTATTTTAATCGAGATTTTATGGTGCTCGCAACTGCATAAGGTCATATGAGCACTAGAAGATTAGAGGTGTTACAAGAGAGTAACAAACATAAAAAAGAAGGAGGGGAGGTAAGGGCAATAGAGATGTTTGGTAGGAAAGAAGGAGCAAACAACACCAGAGCCCCCGCCAACCGCCCACACGTCATCTCTATGCAGTAGTCTCCGCCTAAGATCCCAGTGCTCGGGAGCAAGGAAATGCGGGATCTTAGGCGAACGGGGATCTTAACTGATGAACCCAGGGAAGAATCTATGGTGACCCATGTTAAAGCTCACAATCGGTAAAATGGTCTCCCTCCACTCTAAATTGAACTTGGTGCGTTTATGGCATATGGCGAGCAAAGAGTGTTTTACCTTGATAACCTATCACAGTGCAAGTGGCATGAGGTGTATGCCATTTTCACTTATTATCCTATCATGAGTCCCAAGATCTACACTTATATCCAGTTGCTCGTCCCCTTTACCTGTCGACAATTTATAGCTTTCCATCTCTGACCGAGTTTCCCCTCTTTCCCCCCCACCCCCCCACCGCCTTTGTCATTTCACACCGTTACGTTGTGAACACACCAATTGAAATTCAGTCTGTCTCGCAAATTCGGGAGTAGAGACAACTGCAGCAGTGGTCGGGGAAGAGTTCACGGTTTGATGTGATCACGCCTTGAGGGAACATGTAGGCCCTACCCACCCAGCGTGTGGTGTAAGTTTAGGGGGAGAGCTCAGGTGTGAGTGTGATGCGTGGGGAAAGTAAACGCGTCGGTCAGTTCACACCTCGGTGTGATCCCGTCTGGGGCAAACATTGCATCTCTTCATAGAGTTTTACAGCGTGTGTGTGATCATATTCACTTTCACGATAGTGGCTTATCTTTGACGCCACGGACAGTTTATTGATCTTAACTTTTCACTCTTGGTCGTTCGGCTGTGCCCGCCCGGGTTTCTGTTCTGCGAATTATGATCTGAAATGCAGGATCTTAGCCGAAGGCCGAAGGTAGACCTTCAGAGTGAATCAGAGCGGGATCTTAGGGGTGACTTTTGTATAGTAAAAATTCTGTTTTCTTAAAACAACGGGACCTTAAGCGAACCGGGATCGAAAGTGGTGGAGACAGAACCCACACTCCATAGTTATCGTTGGGACCAAAACCGGATGACACCAACGCATTTACCCTGTTTAAGGAGGGGTAATAGTTGGCTGCTGGTTCTTCAACCTGCAGTTTCAGTGCAAGTGATTTTTACGTGCATTGACCATTTTTCCTACTTTGTAGTTTCCCTTGCATTCAGGCAGTGGGTTTCAGTTTCCAAGGTATTCTAGACTTGAATTATAAATAAATTATATTACCTATGTCCTATGTTTTTATTTACTGACTAGAGTATATTTTAAGTTTTGATCTGGCAGGAATCAAATTTGAATTTTGCCTGGGTGGCGGCTGAAGCCTACTCTTATAAGATTTTAGGACCATGAATGGATGTCTATAACATGAACGTATGACTTCCGAAATTTTTGTTGGTACCCAGAAGGCTAAGGCTAAGACTAAGTGTTTGATCTTACCTCTACCCTATGATCAGGGATGTGGCTGAAAGACAACAGTACAAGACGGAATAGCGGTAGGAAGAGTCAGATAATACAGGAGAGAGGAGGCGGGGTTTGGGGTGGTGAAGAAAGTAGAGATGAAAGCAGATGATAGACAAAAAAGTGCTGGAGACCTTTTTTTAATACAGCACTATAATTTTATTAATTGAGCAGGGGAAAGGGTTTTGTCATGTCCCTTGATTTTGTTTACCTGGTGAATAAGTCGAATTTCGGATGAGTTGATCTTTTTTTCATTCCTCAAACATCAACTGTCTGTGGTCGACATGTGCCTCGCGTTATGCCCCCCC